CCCTCTCTTGTGATTGTTTTGAGATCCCCCTCTTAGTGATGTAGACTTAGGGGAGTTACAACCGATCTCAAAAGTTCCATGTTTGGCCGCACCAGACATACCAAACGTATCACCTTCATCTTGTTCTGTGGCACCTTTTCGAGACTTGCCAATTTGGCCTCCACTTTCTCGCAAAGCAACCTGCGCTCTATTGAATCTTGTCTCAGAAGTTGATCGCAGTTCTTGTCCTCCAGTTATTGCCAACATATCGTTCCTGTGAGCTTTTCCCTGCTGGAATTCTGTGTGACTAGACGATTCTCCTACCTCCAGATTATCTTCTTCATTAGCTCTGCTGAAGTCAAATACCAGGCCCTTATTTTTGTTATAAACCTTGGACACAACTGGAGCTTCCTCCATACGCAAACCAGCACGCTGAGCTATCGAGTCCTTAGATAAGTCATCTAAGACTTTCCTCATTCTGAAATCCCTTATTCTCCGTTCCTCTGGATCACTACAATTCATGTATAACTGCATTTGTTCAAAAACTTCTGAGCGATCAGCCCTGCAGGAGGTGCGAAGCCTGGAGGTACCGTAGGGGCGAACAAAGGCATAATGTCTTCAGTCAGATGTGTGTTATGTTGTCTTTGAGTTAGCCTCTGCATACTCAAAGGGAGCTGTCTGGTCGGTCCTTGCAAAGTTGGCGTTTGCTGTCCCTTCTTCAAAGGACAAACCTTTTTCTCATGTGACAGACGAAAGCAGTGAAAACATTTCTTCTTGATCCTCTCATACTCAATATCAAGAGTGACTGATCCTCCTCCCTTAGGTAGATTTAAACACTTCTTCTCCCTTACTGGCAATTCCAAGTCCAGCACCACTAGAACTCTAATATAATCCTGAAGGTGGGGTTTCTCTGGGTCCCATTCAATATCCTTCACATAGCCTATTGCTCCCGCAACCGTGTCAATCGTCTTGATGGTAAGGAAGTTGACCGGGATGTTGAATATCCTGATCCAAACCGACGCTAACTGCAGGAAATTTGGAGGGGGAGTCTCTACCCATCTCTCCAACACCATTCCCCAATCATCAAAGGTCCAAAACCCATGTTTGAGAACTGTCTATAGATCCGTTTCCAGTTCAAAGATGAACTGAAACCTCTCTTTGGTAAGCGCAACTCCACGAACCCTTTCATAGACTTTCCAGATCTTTGGCATCGTACGTAGCATTCTAGCCATGTTTTGGCAGGCTGGATTCAGGAAGCGACCAAGGAGACTGCGACTGCTTCTTTCAATCGCACTGAAATCATTGTCCTTCGGCAGCAAAATCGGGGCATCATCCTCCAAAGTCATTCCTTGCATAACACTAGCCAGATTATCCTCCATCAGCAGAAGAAAAATCTCTTTTTTCTTTATCAATCTACTCGAGAATATAAAGAAACTCGAGAAGTACACAGGCGGCGCAGAGATGAGCCCTAGATAAACACCAATTTTGTATGAAGATTTCGAAGAAAAAGGAGTATTTCCATAAAATCTTTGGATATTTCCAAAAAGATTTTGGAAAATATTTGAATAGATCCATTTGCCGGCAAGGAAATAAACCTTCCGGAGGTTAGCTCTCCTCTGATTGGCCAAAAGGGAATCGCCCTTAGAGAGAGAATTTTCGCAAAAAATCGCCATCACTAAAAATCATTTACATAATTATTTTTTTTTGAATATATACAAAATTTCAAAACTAATTTTATATAATTTATTTATTTGTCTAATAAAATCAGAAAATTATATTTTTAAAAACATTTTTAAATAATTTATAAAAAAATTTAGTTAAATTTTAATTATAATTATGTTTAAAATAATATTATTTATTTATACGATATGAGATATATATATATATATAACATAAACACCTATTAAAATAAAATTATTTATTCATATGATTTTATAATCATTGTAACTTATTATAAAAAAATCGACCTTGATCACAAAAGTTTATGTGAGATTTAAACATTTTTAATAATTTATACTCGTCTTGAAAATTTCAAAATCCAACATATATAAAAGAATATAAATTTTTATTATATGATTAGTGTAGTTGTGTAATTTATTTTAATAATAATTTTTTTTAAAAAAATGATATAAAATATACATATTGTTAACAAATCTTTATTAGTTAAAACCATTAATGGTCATATTATTTTAATCATATTAGGTAATTTCGTAGATTTTATTTAAGGAAAGAATATATAGAAGATTTAGTCTGATATGTTATTTAGTATGATATAATCTTATATGAGACCAACAAACCTTATTTTAAGACTCTGTTTTATATGAAGTGTTATAGAATTCTTCTAAAGTAAAATAAAAAACATAGAGATGTGCCACATAGATAGGTTTATTTTTTAGTTAGTACAAATTTAAGGTTATAAATTTTCAAATATTTCTCAATTAATATATAGGGGATTCGAAACTAAACTTTTATCTGAATGAATACCTGACATATTATACTATGGGTAAAAATTGACTTTACTTGATTTACTCGGAATCAAAGGGATGAATACATATTATACTATGGGTAAAAAATCACTTTACTTGATTTACTCGGAACCAAAGGGATGAATACCAGAAATCCCAACCTTTGTTTAAAGATGAACAACACCTATGCGGCGAGAAAAATGAGAATTGAATCTGATGTAACAACGTGCACGGTGAACCCTGTTGTAAAATACAGAATTTTGTTATCTTATGGGCCATATTCTTCGACATGTGACTAGCCCAAACATATAGCTCCATGACACATGACAATTTGTCCAAGAACATTACACCAGGACTACATTTGTTTTTAGTGTTGGGTGATGATTGTTTGAATGGTTTTTAGATTTTAGTTTTTGGTTTTCAGCTTTTAGTTTTTAGTTTTTAGTTTTTAGATTTTGGTTTTTAATTTTTGGTTTTTGATTCTGCAGTAAATTTTAGTTTTTGAAAAAACACGAATGATAGTTTAGTTTTTGGTTTTTGTTTTTAAAATTAATAAAATATTTCTTTTATATTTTTCTGTAGTTTTTCTGTAATTTTAATTTTTAAATTGAATGAAGATTTGTTAGTTTTAGAAGTGAAAATAGTGCAAAATCAAAAGATGAACCACAATTTACACACAAAAAATATCAATAGTTAGATTTTTACATTATATATGACAATACAAAATTAATGCAGTTCAAAAATGACATTACATAAGTTAAATTTAAAAAAATAAAAATAGTTATATTTTTATTATATTATATAATTCAAATATGATAAACAAAAAAATACCAGTAGTTAGATTTTTACATTACTATTCAATTCCACACATATTAAACAACATACAATTGACAGTTAGTTTATTATTTAAACATACTATATAAAATTTCATTATATTTTTATAAGTTTAGAAACTTCATAAAATTATAAATATATCTTTAGTTCTGAATTAAAAAAAAAGTTATTTGCATTTTTTTTTCTTTTTCTGAAATTTAATTAATGATTTTTCGTCAATTTTTTTTTAAAACAAAATTAACTTAGAATTTAATTTCTTGTTATTAAAACAATATAAAATTTACTACAAGAATGAATCACGAATTTTGATAAACAATACCCATAGCAAGCAAATGGTTCTTACTAAACCTTATTTATTTATAGTATTTATTAGCTTGTTACATTTTATATATTAAAGCATAAATATAACAAATAAAAATTAAAAAATAAAAACCCACGTAACTTTTTATAAGAAACCATGAAAACTTGGTTTTTGTTTTTATGTTTAAAAACAGTTATTTACAAAAAAACTAGTTTTCCTATATTTTAGGAAATCTATTTTTTCAAAATCATGATTGGTTGTAAAATGATTTTTAGAGAAACAAAAACCAAAAACTAATTTAAAAACCATAAACAATCAACCTTTGTTCTTCTCGAGTCTAGAGCTATTTTTAGAGCATCTCCATTAGAGGCTCATAGGAGGGGTTCACCCGTTTCCCAAGAAAAAAAATTAAAATAATATTATTTTGGTGAACCTCTCTCTGAAAAGTTCATGGCAGTGAACCTGGTTCACATGGGATTCGCCACGTGGCGGTATCCCATTTGTCCGAACTTTTTTTTTGTTTTTTTTACAAAACAAAAAAAAAATTAAAAAATCAATTTTCTTTCTTTTTAGTGAACCCCATGGGGGGTTCACCAATGTGGATGCTCTTAATATCTTATAAAAAACACATTGTGCTGAATTGTGTGTCAATAATACTCGGAAAGTACGATATCATCAAAGTATAGGTTTAGAAAAGAACTAAGCTAAGCCGTCCAATTTAAATTACATTACGAAGTAAATTTTAAGGCCCACAGCAGTATAGAGTACATGGCCCCAAAGAAGACAGACCGAAAGAAATGCTTTATTCACTCATTACTCATTAGCATTGGTTACTCACTTTAAATTTTTCTTTTGGTCAAGAACTGAAGATTAGTGTTAATCTCTCTATCTATGTGTATTGTATTAGTTCATCAAAAGGCAAAGTAACTTGTAAACTATACGAGCATGAAACATCATCCTTTCTCTGGTTGATTTTATTTAGGTTGGGCTCCTTACGATCGATTGGTTGGCTCCCCTAGTCGAGCCCCATTTTTAACGTACTGTTAAATTTCAGTTCTACCAGGAAATTCACCACATTATTGGAACAAAAATTGAAGCGTTTAAGTGGGTTTAATCCCGTAACAGTGGAACGAATAAGCCTTTAAATGCGTTTTAGATATGTAAAATACTGATTGACCGTTTAGACAAGCAACTTAAAGAATCTTTTGTTTCGGTAAAATTTGAATTCTCTCGAGTAAACTTGCGAAGAAACAAAGAGCGAAAGAAAATGATTTAACATTGCGTTTCAAGATATCAAATACCTAATCACGAACTGTTACAATCCAGAATACCACAAACCAGAACCAGACAGCAGAACCAAACATAACACAGAGAACCATAAAACCCGAACAAGAAACGAAACAGTCTCACAACTAATCTAATTACCAACCACCACCACCTCCTCCTCCGTAACTTCCACCATCTCCACCTCCATAACCCCCACCGTCACGTCTTCCACCACCACCGTATCCTCCGCCACCACCTCCTCTCGAGGAGTAACCACCTCCACCACCACCACTGTATCCATCCTCACGTCTTCCACCTCCATAACCACCACCACCTCCGTAACCTCCACCACCACCTCCGCGGTATCCACCGCCACCACCACGGCCTCCTCTGCCACCGCTTCCACGAGACTGAGCCTCGTTGACAGTGATACTGCGACCATCGAGCTCTTGACCGTTCATCCCTTCAATGGCATCCTTCATCGCCTTCTCATCCTTGAAAGTGACGAATCCAAATCCTCTTGATCTTCCAGTCTCACGATCGTTAATGATCTGTTCACAAAAAAAAAAACAAATCAGCACACAAATCCAACACTAATGAATAAAAAGTTTCACATTAAAATTAACAAATCAATATAAAACCGATCGATCTCCAGGCTCATAAAAGCAGGAAGATGAACGTACCGATTAAAGAGGAAAAGCAACAGTAACAGAGTAACAGTAATTTCGAATCAAGTAACAGAGAAACACAGATCGGAATCAGATCCGTCGAGGATCAGAACCATCGGAAACCTCCGGGAGTCTGATCTCTGCGTGTAACGGACCTTGTAATCAACTAGCTCTCCGTACTGAGAGAAGGCGGTCTCTAGAGATCTCTCGTCGGTGGCCCATGCTAGACCTCCAACGAAACACCGGTACTCAACATCAGCGGACGCCATTTGAAAAGAGAGATCTAGATTTTGTAGTGAAGAGAGGATGTGTGATGAAATGAGGGAGACGAGAGAACTGTATTTATAATGTGGGATGAGATATTTAACCAAGGTTAAGATATTTTTCTAGGGTTGGGTCGGGTTTAGAGAGACATTGATTAACTATGGTTAAGGAGTGTGGTTTAAGAATTGGGAGTTGTTGGGGACACATCACGTGACACTTTTTTTGTTTTGATGTGCAGATGGAAAGAGGGAAAAGATAATTTCTCGAGACATGTGAAAGAAAAATATCTGTTATTTCGAATTGACATTTGTACCCATAATTGTCGTAGTCAGATGGTTTTACGCTGTCATGTTAAAACTGGGCCGGAATTTATGGGATTGTTTTACATAGGAAAAAGGTATTTGGGCCGAACCTTAGCACATAATTAGGTCGTAAATAAAGCAAAAAATGAATGTTGACAGTGGGATTTGAACCCACGCCCTTTCGGACCAGAACCTTAATCTGGCGCCTTAGACCAACTCGGCCATATCAACCTTTTTACCAGATACCGCTCAAGAAATATATATCCGGTTGTGAAAGTTAAGACAACATGTGCTTCTTTGGTGAGTCTATGGACTTTTGATGAATGATGATGATAAATTCTGATGCTGAGGTAATCTCATGAACTCTAGCATCAAGGCTTAGTTGAACTTGCACGCAGATAAATGATCTGATAAACAAGTTTGAAGCAGAGTTAGCTATGTTTTGGGGTTTGTGTTTATTTGCATTAGCATTTTCTTCTAATATATGATAAGAAAAAAAAATGAAATTTTGGTTTGAAGATAAACCACACAAACCGATCGATCCTGACTTTTGCCCTATTGATTTCAATATAAATGATTTCTTTGGTTTTCTTAAAGTGATAGAACATTTAAACTTTGATGGTACCCCTTACAAATATACGCAAAGCAAAGCAACAACATTTTCAAAAACAGAAGCTTTCTTCACAGTCAAGAAAGACGTTATGTCTCAGACTCCCAACGGCAACGATGCAAACAAGAAACCGCAAGAAAACGAAGAAGAAGAAGAAGTAAAGAAAAGCTTCTCCGAAACTCCATACGACGTCACCGAGCACATCCTCGCCATCACCCGAAGACGTCACTACCCGAACCTCTCTCTCGCCTCCAAAACCTTCAACAGCATCCTCCTCTCTCCGGAACTCTACAAAAGACGCTCCAACCTCGGCGTCACCGAACCAATCCTCTACGCCTCCATCGGCTTCCCTCCTTCCGAACCCCCTAGCTGGTACATTCTCCACCAAGACCACGTTTCTTTACGCCTACGCAAGATCCCTTCACTCCCTTCCCGCCTTCTCAGCGCCGTCGTCACACTCGGACCAGAGATGTACGTTCTCGGCGGAAGCGTCGGCGGGAACCCCACGTCGGACGTGAACCTCATCGACTGCAGATTCCACACGACTCGCTCTCTCCCAAACATGAAAAGAACTCGAAGCCACGCCGTCGCCGGGGCCATCGACGGGAAGGTGTACGTCATCGGAGGTTGTGTGAAGAAGTCTGATGATTGGGTCGAGGCCTTTGATGTGAAGACTCAGACGTGGCGTGACATGCCTGGTGCGTTGCCTAGTGCTCATTGGGAAGGAAAGTTCGTGACGAGTGCTGTGATGGACGGAAAGATGTTCGTTTTGGACCCGAGTTCGGCTTGTTTGGTTTTCGATCCCAGAGTAGGTGTTTTGGTTTGCTGGAACGATGGAGGTGAGCTTATGAAACTGTGGCAAGCGTCGTCGTGTGTGGTTGATGATAAGTTGTATACTATTGATCTTGGGCGGTCTCTTATGTGGCCGATAGTTGTGTATGATCCAAAGGCGGAGGAGAAGAGGTGGAGACCGGTGCGTGGTGTGGAATTGAGGAGAGATTTGCTTCCTTTTAGCTCTTATTATGACTCTAAAATGGCGAATCTTGGTGGGAAGTTGTTGATTCTGGTCGGTAGTGCCGCCTGGCCTGTTTTTCATTGCGGGGATGAACAGGTTTTGTGCGTGGTGATCGGTTTGGAAAGACACGGAGATGAGATTTATGGGCATGTTGAGTCAACTAAGCTGGTGCTGGAATCCGAGAAGTGGCCTTCCATTGAGCTTTCTCGAACTGTTACTCTTTGAGATGGGGTTTCTTGCACAGGTATGTGTCTCTGTTATAAGTAATGATGTATAGTGTCTTTTAAGTCTCAAGGCTTAGTTTTGTTTTTCATGGACTTGCAGGTGAAGGATCTTTTTTTAATTGCATCTACTGTTTACGCAGCTTGTTGATATGATGAGAGCAAAATATATATGCAGCAAAGTGTCTCTCATCTGACACCTAACTAGTCCTCTGAGAGCCTTTGTGAATAGTGTGAGTACTCTTTACAGATTTAGCGTTGAGTAGATTTCTTTTGCTTTAAAAAGGATAGACCAATTCTTTTTAGCTGCCTTTTGTAAATAGATAGATGCTTCTTGTTGCAGTTACAAAAGAATACTTCTTATTGAAATGCATCTTTTAGTTATCAGTGTGTTTACATATATAAATAATAATTCCTCTGCGAGTAATCACAATCAGACAATTTGCAGTAGCACATTGTTTACAAAGGCTATATACTATTGTTATGGAAGATTTCTTCAGCTGCATGGTAGGCCATCTTTCATTGTAACATTCTTACGGAACTTATTTGTTGAAAATGAAATGCATCGTTTTTTAGCTATATTATCTCCAAGTAACCACAATTAGATATAACAACAAAAACCAGTTCTACTATACGAGCAAAATGAAATCTTGTTTTGGAGAATAAAGAAAACAAAACCAGTTTAGACAACCGGTAGTTATGACCTTATGCTATATCCATCCGTAAGTTGGACACAATAAGATAAATTAGTATTTGAAACAAGGCCCGCCAGAAAGCAAAAAAAATTAGGTCCCACCGAGAATTGAACTCGGGTTACTAGATTCAGAGTCTAATGTCCTAACCGCTAGACCATGGGACCATTTTTGTTGTACGTTATTTAGAATAAGGTTTATTATATCACCATCACTCCTTCCTTCAAGCTTCTCTTGAGCAAAGATTCTCTTGTGTGTGTTTTTTTGTTATGATTAGAATTTTCCAGGACATGAGTATTCCTACTGAGGCAATTGGAAACATGTTAGTCAACTTTCCATCTTTACTAACTAAGAGCATCTTTATCCCATGAAACCCATTTGAGGTTCTTATTTTTTTAAATTTTTTTTTTGTCTAACTAAAAAAAATTTTACAAGTGAACCAATCGCAGGCCATCACATGTCAGTGGAGCTAGCGAACAGTGCACATAAATCGGTGCTTGTTTGGGGGTTTTAAGCAACGAGTTTTCTGGGTTTTAGTGCTTTTTGTAGGGCCTACACTAAAATTCCACCTCAACTCCTGGCATAAAAATGACCTAAGTGCATCATTGGTGAGGCAGTTTCTTCCTATTTATTTCTGATCATACAATAATAATATCAACTAGATTTTGATCCGCGCTTTAAAAGCTCATATATAATTTTACTATTTTGATAAAATTTGATTGATTTTATAAATTTTATTAAAAGTAAATAATTTTAAATTTATTATATTAGTGTTTCAAAATATTTGTTCTATTATATTTGTTTCCATGTCCGACTCAGACTGTAGTTGAACCGATAGATCCGGCGACCTGAGTTTAATCCAGTTTAGATTTAATAAAAAGTTATTAGTTAAAAATTAGATAAAACCTTGTAAAATCCAAAACTCGCTATTAACCCGTGATCCGATATCAGATTATTTGCTGAAAAAAAAAATATTTTTGATTTTTTGATTAAATAACTCATACATTTTAATATTATATAAGACTGAAAATTTTAATATCTTATACTTTGTTGAATTTTTTATTAAGTAATTTGAAAAAAATGAAATAATGGTAACAGAAAAAGTTATATTTGTTAATATGACAATCTTAGTTTTGTTTTTGTTTTTGTTTTTAATAACTTATGAAAGATAGTTCTGTTTATTTTAGGTGTAAAATTTAATTTTATAATAAGTTTTCAAATATTTTTGAAGGTTCAAAATGTAAAAAATGACATAGTAAATAATATATTTAATTTTTCATATATATATATATATATATTCCAATTTGATTGTTAAATAATACTAAGCAAGAAAAATAATATTAAAATCAAATGAAATGAAATGTATTATTTACATAAAATTAGAATTAACATTTTCTACAAATTATGGATAGTATTAGTTATTAAAAATATAAGAAAAATTCTGTTGATTAGTTTAAATAAATAATATAGATATTAAAATTAAATGTTAGTGGCATAGCAATGTAAATAATTTGAAAAAGTAAGGGCATAATCATAATAGAGTTTATGCTTTAATAGTATAGATAGTTAGTTAAATGAGTTATAAATTTAGCATAATTCAACCACTAATTTTAGGACATGTGTAGAAACACATTAGCACTGGACGTTTATGTCTTTTCACTTAACTTTTTCATTCTTTTTTTCTCAACCTTCTTCCTTTTTCTTTTTTCTTTTTATTTGTTAAGAAATTGGGTGAGGTATTTTCAATGCACATGCTCTAATAGCCTCTATAAGAAAATCTAATATGAACCAAAGATAGTAGGCATGAACGTTCGGCACCCTTGGAATTCAAATCTTGTATTTTAGATTTTGACTCTAATATCATATCCTAGATTTCATTCTGGTAAAATTGTAATCACAGTCAAATTCAGATATACATGACACATTGATTTTTATTCTAATTTGTATGACATCTTAAAACCAATAAAGTTATCATATACAGATAGGATTCAGTTATATAGGTTTAGTTTGGATACACCTGAAGTAAGGTCTAAAATTTAAAATGCAATACATAACAAATAAATACTTATTTATATATAATTAAATATTTAAGGTACTTATTTAAATTATAAATATTTATTTTTGCATATTATATCAGAATAAATATGAAATTAAATATTTAAAGTACATATTTGTGTTTCTAATATTTATACTACATATTGACATTCAGATAGGTTTTTTCAGGATTTTTGGCTTTTCAGGTTTTTTAGATTACCATTTTGAGTATAGACAATACCCATTCGTTTATTTTTTACATTAGAGATAAGGTATAGATCAGGTTTTTCAATTCGAGTTCAGTTCGAACTTTAGGTTACCAATTTTATGGCCATGCCTAGTCTATATATTGAATGTGCTTTTGGAGTATTTCAGAGAAACTTCTCATAAAACTTTGCATTTAACGTAAAAAAATATCTTTGCATTTAATAATACAACAACCTTTCAAAATATCGTCTATAAGTAATGATGAAGTTCTTTAAACCTTGAACAGATTCTTTAGCTACCCACTGGAACGTCAGATAATCCCAAGGTTGCAGACTAAGGCGTATGTTGTTCAAAAGACCTGAAGCTCATGTACATGTTGGCTTGTACTGATGAAGAATTTGAGGAGAGTGAAAGACAAAGTGGAGAGAAGAGATAAACTCGAAGATGGTCTTTGACTCTGAGGATTCTCGGTTGTCGGGTGAGAGCCATCTTCACTCTCCTCTGAGCATAATAGTATAGTTTCAAAGACCCTTTGTTTGTGTAAGAACAAGATAATAAGAAGTTGCTTCTCTTATTAATCACTTGAGAAAATACCTCAAAACTCAAGCTCTCTTAAACAAACTCACAAATCTCTTAAGGTTGCAACAATACTGCAACTCTTTATATATATCTCTATATTTTCTAAACTCATTAGGAATCACAAATAGATATTTTCCTAATCTCTTTTAATAACCAAAATAAACTAAGATTAGGTAGCTTGTTCTTCAAGCTATTTCAAGCTTATTCCAACATTCTCCCCCTTAAGCTTGAAATGTCTTTGTGCCAAGTCTTTAACTCCAATCAAGTTCCTCATCTCCTTGTATCGGATTCTTGCAAGTCCTTTGGTTAGGATATCCGCCTTTTGTTCACTCCCTACTATGTGTTGAACCTCAATGAGATTGTTCTCGACACATTCTCTTATGAAGTGGTACCGGTGATGGATGTGTTTGGATCTACCATGGAACACAGGATTTCTTGTCAAGGCTATTGCAGATTTGTTATCTATTAATAGCACCACTTTCTCGCACTCCTTTCCCATGATTTCACTAAGTAGGTCTTGAAGCCAGATAGCATGTTTTGCCGCCTCAGTTGCTGGCATAAACTCTGCTTCACAAGAAGAAATAGCAACCGTTTCTTGTTTCTGAGAACACCAAGTTATAGGTGATTCTAAGAAATAAAAAACATGTCAAGTTGTGCTTCGGCCATCATCTTCATCCACATTGTGACTCGCATCACTATAACCAATTAGCCTTGTATCCTGAGCTCGTGTGAACTCCAATCTGTGACCAAGAGTTCCTTGTAAGTAACGCAAAATCTGTTTTACAGCTGCAGCATGAGATGTCATTGGATCCTGCATATACTCATGACACCAACCGAGAATGATAAGTCTGGTCGTGTATGTAATATATATCTCAAACAACCAATGCATCTTCTGTACTCCTTTTCATCAATGCTGTGCTCCTCTTGTGCTTTAGAAAGCCTTAAACTCGGGTCCATGGGCACATGAACCGCATTACATTCAAGCATTCATGTTTCTTCTAAAATTTTATTGGCATATCTCTCTTGGCTTAATGTGATCCCTTCACCATGTTGATCAACCTCAATGCCCAAGTAGTATGTTAACTTTCCTAAGTCACTCATTTCGAACTTCTCAGACATCTCCTTTTTAAAGTCTGTAATCATCTTGACGCTTGTACCAGTCACTAAGAGGTCGTCTACGTACACTGCCAGAAGAAGCAATTGATCTCTCTGTGATCGCCGATACACTGCAGGTTCCTTAGAGCATTTAACAAACTTTAAATCTCCCAGTACCTTATTTAACTTCTCATTCCATGCTTTTGGAGCTTGACGCAAGCTGTAAAGAGCTTTCTTTAATTTGTATACTTTTCTCTCTTGTCCTAGTACCTCAAAACCCTCTGGTTGAGAGACGTATACATCTTCTTTCAAATCACCGTGCAAGAACGCCATTTTAACGTCTAAATGATGTACTTCCCATCCTCTTGACGCTGCTAAAGCTAGCAGAAATCTTACC